TTTATGATGCTCATAGGAAGAGATACACACCACATGCACTTACCTGCAGCGATATCACGAGAACTGCAATGGCCAATAACAACACAAGGATAATATTGAAAAAACGATAGCAATTTTCACCTCAGAAGTGACAAGCAGCGCTGTCAACGCAGGGATTCGCAGCTTGAGGAAATGCAACCAAAGTGCAGCTTCAGAGGTGTCGACGACCTTCCGCTTCACCACCAAGGAGTGCGTGTGACCGCTGCAGAATTGCCTACAGGAAGGCATGTCACCACAAGATGCGGAGGTGTCTCAAAGGATTCTTGGGATTCTACTATTCTGCGTGCATGTAGGTCTCCCGAAAATTCCAGCTAGAAGCAAAAGTGGCCGGGCTGCTCCAAGGAGAGACGAATAGCCACAAACTTGTCCTTGCTTTTCCTCACAGATGGCTTCCCTCCAGTGCCTGTGCAGATTCAGATCTTGGATTTAGGGTAGAGGACCGAAGGTATCCCAAACCTTAATTGGACCTGGATATGGAATGCTTTCAGAAGGACGGGAGTAGGTGAGAGGCCGTCTTTCAGGTTCCATGCTTCCGGTAGCAACATTGCAGGCTGCAACAAGCAGAACGTAAGCATCCCTCTTGACCCCCGGTGATCGTTGTGACTTTGATGATTCTGCATAGTACCATATAGTATCATATAGTATAATACAGTACAGTATTATGCAGTGCTTGCTACTCCGGCAGATGCCTGCAATCAGTGTAACCAGTGCTGCCACCTGTCTTATGCCTACATCATTGATGTCATCGGTTTTGCCGGTGTTCACGCTGGCGAATGGAGTTCAGGATCCAACATTGAGGATTGAGGGCTGAGCACTTGGAGACTTACTGCTTCTCAAACCTTGGGTCGTCCTGCGCAGCCCACAAAAGTGACTACAGCCATAAACTTTGAACCCTATACCCAAAACAAGGCTGCATGTTGTTGGGACTTTCATACCTCAACTAGCCCTTCAACGACGTATGTACTTTTGAAAAAAAAGTAATGGTGTTCCAGCAAGCTTGCGTATGGAACCCCAATGCACCAAGACGTGTAGAAGAGCATGCAATATAAGAACCCTCCTAGTCATCCCGAGACTGTCGGCCTTGAGCCCAAACCCTCAGCACTCGACGAACTACAAGCCCAAAGCTTTTAACCCATCCTAAATTCTGTTTCCCAAATTCTGAACCTTAAACCTAAACCCCACCTCCCAAGTCAACACTCATCGCCTCTCAACAACATCTCAGCGAGCTCTTCCGGAGACGACGGGGGTCCAGTGTAAAAGAGACGGTCTCCTTCCGGTGTTTAGGGGTCTAGGCTTGGGACTGGAATATTGCACATTACTTGGCTGACCCCATGGGGGGCCTGCCCCTGAAAGATTCTAAAACACTACAGTGGCCGCATCTTCTCTGCTACTCCAAGCCTGGAAGCCATATGACTAGTGTTTTTTGGTGGTTGAACCGAGTAAGATTATGTTCTGTATGAAAAGTACTATACCCAAGAGGATGATGTAATCTTACTTTTTGGTGGACCATATATTATGCTGGGACGTCATAGTATCCCCAAATACAATACTGATCTCCGAGACCTGAAGCACGTTGGCTGCAGTCCTTTCACGTCATACTCCTTGCGCCTCTCCGGATTGCTTAGCACTTCGTACGCAAAACTGATTTCTTTGAACCTCCAGGGTCTGCAGGGCAACGGAGGTTTCACAACTGTTTCACCTGCTGGGAACTGCCCTGAACAAGCAGCTGGGCCTGGATTTAGACACTTCACTTGTCTGAACCCAGCTGTAGGCTTAGGGTTTGGGGCTTACATGTAATCCCTACTAATACATAATTAGTAGTTTCCATTTTCTTTTCCATTATCCCAATATAATCCCAATACAGCCCCAATATACCAAAGTAGTTTCCATTTTATTTTCCATTATCCATCTAATCACCCATTCACTGCAGCACTGCCGCAACAGATGAGGCCCTTCTCCTCGCCTTTCGGAGCTTCCACCCTTGTCCGGGTGATGGGTCCAAGCCAAACTCCTCGTGACCGTTGCAAGTCAGAAACTAGAGTCATGTTTTTAGGGGGCCCATGCTTGAAATTCTTGGGGATGAATAAGCCTATATTACAAAGAACCTTTATGTTGTCCAGAACAGTAGCTTTAAAGAGACAATAGGGCGTAACCTGATTCTACCTTGTGTGTATGAGTGTTTTCCATGGCATACCATGGCTCAACCACTCTTCATCTGCAACAACCAACGTATTCAAGCATTGATAGTCTGCCAATTCTTACTGAATTTCTATCTTCACCCGAACCCCCAAAACCCGAAACCGTATAGTAGCTTTCATGTTCTCTTCCATTGCTTTGATCCCTTAGGTCCTGAAAGCCTTCTTTATGTCGGACAGACTGGCCGTCTTTGGGAGCTGCAGGGCTGCGTACAAGGAGAATTGGGCTGGAGGCCGCTGCTGTGGAGGCATGGCTCGGACACGGATTAGGGTTTAGGGTTTAGGGTTTAGGGTTTGGGGGGGAAAGAAAAAAAGATTCCTATCAGGACGGCTGTGTTGTTGAACGGCCTTTTTTGAGAGCTTCGAGCTTAGGGCAGTGAAAGTAAAGTAGCAAAAAGCTCACCCACACAAGGCTCTCCTTAGAACCTTGACCTAGTCAAAATCTGCATTCTACCACTCTGCATTATACCTGCCACTTGAGGCACAATAAGCAGCCCAATTCGGAGATGATGTGCCTACATGACTCGTCGAATGACGCAACTGCTGCCAGTCATGGCACGCAGACGCGAGGCCGCTACTCCAGGGATCCGATCTCATCACCATGGAAAGGATTCCCAAACTTGGGATGGCTTTCTGAGGTGGTTTTATGGGTCCGTTGTTAGGATGACACGGGGAATATATTGTGAGCCATTGGGCAGTGGGCTTATGGTTTGTACACAACAACGGACGCTGTAGGAGGGCCTCACAGAAGTCAGAGGGCTCTGGCACTTCTCAATACTGTCAATCCCTGCCTAACTGACAGGCAAAAACTGCGAAGGGTATAACCAGAGAAACTCCTGTCTAACCTGCAAGAGCACAGCAAACTCTATCATATAGCCTAGACCCTAAACCTCTCAAGCCCGAATCCCAAACTCTAAGCCTGACTATCCAAAACCTTAAGCCCTACTTCTCTAAATCTATTATCCCAATATATACCCAACATATTATAGTAGTTTCCCTTGCATTTTCCACTATCCTTATAACCCCAATATATTATAGTAGTTTTTTCTTTTCCATTATCCCAATATACTACACTAAACCCAGAATCCCAAAGCCTAAACCCGAAGTCTCAAGCCTGTCTCGCGAGGTGGAGGCAGCCTGCAAGATGCCGGGCATTTCCAAAAATTCGGCTGGAGGTGTTTTTTACGACCGCCATGCGCCACCAACACTTCTACGGAAATAGTTAAAAGTCTCTGCTGAGCGCGTTGGCGCAGCTGCCAGCCGAGCAGGGTATTCTGGGTGCTTGGTTATGTATTGTTTGAGGCTTAGAAGGTCCACCCTAATATTATCCCAATATATACCCAACATATTATAGTAGTTTCCATGGTATTTTCCATTATCCTTACAAACCCCAATATATTATAGTAGTTCTTTTCTTTTCCATTGTGTGAGAGGAGTAACCTGGTTGAGAGGGGACATCCTGTGCAAAAGTAACCGGCTTATTGGTTTTGATCCAAACCTCCCTGTTTGAGATCGTGGAGTAATACGAAGCCTTAATGCCCACAGGCTGGAGGGGTTAGGGTTTAGAGTTTTGGGACAAGGGTGTCCGGAATTCGGATGTAGGGCTAGGGGCTTGTAAAAGAAATCCCAACACGCGCTACAGGCCGTTGTCATCACAAGACATATGTCTTTGCATATTGTCTAGCCCACATGGGATTTGAATTCGGAAGGAAAGAGGTACCCTAGTAAAGTATCAGAAGGAAGCCAATGCCGTGCCTGGACAAGTTTACGTGGTAACCGAAATGCCGACAATGGCTGACATGTTGGGTCTACCTTGTACGACATTTCGGGCTTACGGCGTGAAAGAGTAGTCGAAGTGAGATTGAGAGATTAGGTGATCCTCCCCCCCCCGCTGACAGCGACCACACAGGATTATTGCAGCGTACTTGGGTCCCTGCCTATTTGAGCTATAGTCTAAACCTCCTAGAATCCGCCTTAATAATCCCTGCAATAGTCCTCTGGACAATCCGCTACATAACGCCTTTTGAGAAATTTAGACTATCGCTCACTTGCCTGTAGCATAGGGAAAATCACGCAAGAGACAGGCCTTGTCGGCAGACTCTGCCATCATCTCCGCCGTGCCTGCAACGTCTCAGGGTACAGGGATGATGAAACTACTCCAAGAAAGACCGACGGCACCGAATCACTCTTGCTAATGTCAGGGTTCCTGATATAGCCCCAGAATACTAAGATGCTTGTGAGACTCCCATGCTCTTGAGCCTCCGTACGATCCTGAGCATGTTCTTCCTCTATACTCCTTTTAGAGCTCTCCGGATTCCCCACAGCCAATTCCATCGCCTGCGAGCGAATGCGCCGCAACAGCGTAGCAAGACATTGCCTTGCATCGCGCGACCTGACAGCGAACTGCCTAAGCCATGAAATGCTTTGTGTGGGCATCACCTGAAGCAAGGTGGAATTTGACGGTGATGATGGACATGATTACAATCCAGGTGGAGTAGATAGAAGGGGGATACTAGGAACTTCTCGCAGATCTCCGCAGATTTCTTTGTCCATTACTTTAAGGAGGCCTGGATCCACAAACAATTTTTTTTATATATCCCCAGTATAATAAACCCTAAATAGTAGTTTACATTTTCTTTTCCATTATCCCTTTCTTACCCCCAAATAACCCCAATATACCCCCTATATAATGCCTATTTCACCCACTTTAGTAGTACAATACCTCTAATATTACCCCAATGGGTACCTATATCCTGTCTCGGCCACCTCGGCAGTCTCGGAGACGTAACGGCAAGCACCATGGAACTGAAGGCACATGTCCTTGTGGCTGGTCCACATGGCGAGTTTGCAAATTTGGGGTGTCTGTTGGGAAGCTCCAAGAAACTGCCTAGAACAAGGATCGCGGCGTTGTTGGGTGCGTAGACGAGATCTTCACTTCTGAAAATGTCTGCTGAAAGAGATTTGCTGGGTAGCGGAACAGAACGTCAAATGTCGTGTGCACATTGCAGGGACACATGTCGAAGACTTCCACCCAGAATGATTTTGGCACTGTCTGGAGTAATTGAACCTGAAGTCCACCAATGTCCACTTCCACAGGTTTCAGGATTGAGCGAGGAAAAAAGAGCAGGAAAAAAACCGTCAGCCAAGGCAACTTGTAGGGATCCTCCTGAAGGATTGTATGGAGTACTACCCAAAGAAAATAGCGTTTTGCCTGAAAGGACACTAGAATCTACACTATTACACAAAAGTAGATAGTTTCCTCTGTATACAGCAACCGGTCAAGGCAGAATCCTGCAAGTGCCGCTTGCTCGTCTGGGCCACGTTGGTAGAATTCATCCAGCGCGAAGCCCCCTGCACATCCTGGAAACAAACGTTGGAAATGCCCCAAATCACGACAATCCTTCTTATACGGGCCCTCAGAGATCCTCAGAGTTTCTGGCAACCCCCATGCGGGTAAAACAAAAAAACGCTTCTTACAAAGGGCTGCCTGCCAAACATCTTGGGCAGCAGCCGCAGATGTAACCTGCACCAGGTTCCACATCTTCTACTAAAAGCTTGGGGGTTAAGGTTTAGAGTTTAGGGGTTTAAGGTTTAAGCTTTAGGGCGGTTCTGAGAAACGGGAAACCCCAATATAGATGCGAATGTAATGTAACCCTTACTAGAGGAACTCCCGGAGCAATCCCAGTTTCCAATTTTCTTTTCCATCCGATTCTCCATTACTGGAGTACTTTCCCCAAACAAAATAAATCCGGATATAACCATACATGTAGAACCGCAATATATACCCTGTTATGATATAGTAGTTTCCATTTTCGTTTCCATTATCCCTATATAACCCTACATACCCCCCTAGAAATGAAACCCTTAACCCTAACCCCTAAACCCCTAAACCCTAACCCCTAAACCCCTAAACCCTAAACACCTAAACCCCTAAACCCTAAAAATCTGAACAGCCTTCGCCGCATTGGAAGCTTTCACCATCCTCTGCACCAGGGCTGATCATCTTGCTTGGTTTAGGGTTTAGGGTTTAGGGTTTAGGTTTTTTTTGTTTTTATCGGACCTTTTCTCCGCAGCCCGAAGGTCTACGAAAATGCCCTAAGGCATGGTCCCTGTAAGCCGGCCCGTACCACCAGTCGCTTACACAAGAGCAGTTGATTAGGGTTTAGGGTTTAGGGTTTAGAGTTTAGGTTTTTTCTCAAGTGGGACTGGGGGAGTGAATGGGGAGATATAGGGGATGTATAGGAGACATGTAGGCGATATGTAGGGAAAATATCGGGGATATATAAGGGATGTATGGGGGATAGATGGGAATTATGCAACAAAATGATGGAGATTCCTACCCCGCCTCCCCTTAAGCACCTGCAAGTCGTGTACAGGGGAATCTGACACCCAGACACAACTCTGACTGCCTTGTTTTGAATGAAGCTCTCATCTGGGATGATAGTATTGGCGAAGAAAGTCCTGCATGACCTTAAGTAGAATGGTACCAAAATTACCCTGAAGCTGTAGATGGCAAAAATGCTTCATGCAGGTTGTTGCCCATCAACAGTAGTTTGATCTGATTTCCTGAGCCTTTTACACATACAATTTCATTGAGAAGAGAAGATACTATAAGGCACATGGGGGCTCCATACATAGGGGGCCCAATACAAACCTGAATCGACTGCCTCTATCCTTGTTTTCCAAGCCCCACATGGAGAAACTGCCGCTGCCTCCGCCAAAGCATTTGAGCGGCCCCAGCAGTTCGATTCGCGGCTGCATCTGCACCACTGATCACCTCAGCCATGGTGCAAGATTCATGGTGTATTTAGGGTTGAGAGTTCCAGGTTGAGAGGTGGTTCGAGATCCATGTATCGTTTTTTCCTGAATTTGGGTCCCTACAGGCAGTCTGTATGTATGTATATACTTCTATACCCACTTACCATAGGCACTCCGAGAGGACCCTTAATTCAGGGGGAAAATTGTTTTTTAATCTTTTTAATCCCTAATGCCCCAATGCAACATATGCCTGCTGCATCTCAGGATCTGACACTGGTCGCGCAGTGGAGCGCACAACGAGCAGCTTGCGACATGTCAGCCTGACGGTCACTGCTACGAGAGCTTCTGCTAGCTTTACTCTCATAGACTCAAGGCGTCCCACCACAAGCAACTTTAGGAACCAGTCTCCTGATAAGCTTTACATGCCAATTGGCACTTGGAGAGAATGAACTATGGATTGTTCGCCTGACACTGACGTCTGTACTCGCTGCCTCCACATCATCGTTCGTGTTCTTTGTTTCCTTGTCAATCCGTAGCATGCTCACCCACAACCATAGACCACTCTTGCATAAAAAAGCACATGCACTCAACGTCAGAGGCTGCGACACGCGTGCCACGCAAACTCAACGTTGCTGCGCAAGACCTGATCACACCTTGCATCTGCAGCGTGCCGCGAAAAGATTCATGGATTCCGCTCAGCCTTGCATCAAATAAGCCCCAGCCAAGCATCGAAAAAAAATGGCAGAAACACGTTCTGTTCTCATGAGGAAGATCATTAGAGATTGCAGCGGCCTTCGGATTTTTTCAGGGGGAGCACATGGTTTTATGTTTGTTGCTCGACTTGGGCGCGGACCGGAGAAGAGCCAAATGCCGAAAACTGAGTAAGCACACAACATATTCAACAGAATCCACATACAGCTCACAGAGATGCCAACCAGATTAAGTTTTGCACCTGCGATGAGCAGGTACCCAATCACAGACTTGCGCCTCTGGGGCAGCCTGGGCGAAGTTGCCAACCACATGCAGCACTTCGAGACTGAAGTCAATATCACGGCGGATGCCTCCACGACCGCCCCAAACTGTGCACGAACTCCATGGCCAGTGTCACAAGTCACCAAAACCAAACCTACAAAGCATGCAGTGCGTTTCAAAGCCGTGGTTCCACTTCTGCATATTAAGCTTTTGTATGTTGCCATCAGCGCATGAACCAGCTGATGCGAACATATTCATTCATGGGCTGCCAAACAAACTTTCTGCAGTTCAGTGGCAGGCAAACGATACGTGTCATCGAAACGCACAAGATCGGGAATCACGGAACAAAGCTGCATAGCAACTACAGTAATACGAAAAACTGCAAAATATGTCAAACCAGTAAGGGCTTAGCAGCACGGAACATAAACCAGAACAACTGTCAAGAGCAGAAATGTAACACCAAGCAAACAAACGGCTGTAGCAATGAATGCAAGCTTGTTCCGAACTCTTTGTTGGGGCTGTCCCAGACTTGTAACTCAGAGATTTGGATTTGCTTGGGTTGTTTTTAGTACGCTTCCGCCATGCGACGTGCTCCCCTCGCCGTGTGCAAACTGCCAAGTCCATGTAAGCTCTCCCGAATTTCATGACACGGCCTGGCTTTTATGCCCACCTGAAAAATAGTTAAACCCTAATTCACTGTTTCGACCGATCTACGAAACCTCGATTTGCTGCATTCGGGAATGCTGTGTGCAACAACATTGTGCCAAACACACTAATCACCAAGCCATGTGGCGCTGTTTGTCTTACGATGCCGTTGCTTGTCCCTCTTTTGTCTCCATGATGCTTGCTGAGCACCGAGGAATAAGACAACAAACGAGGGGGAGTCATATGGGATCATGTTGTGTTAGGCTGTACATGAAGCTCTGGGCATGCAATGCTGGCCTAATTACCAGCCGAGCAGCCGGGATGGGGAATGTTTCAATATGCCATTGGGGTGTCTGAGCATGTGCAAAAGACAAGTTGCCTCTCCACATGCCCTACAATGATTGATACTGCACCTGGAGACCGCTCCTATCCCGCCATTTCAACGCTCATTTGTCCTCTTCCAATGTTGGAGGCAAAAAAAACAACAGCAAATCATTGTTTTTTTCTTTATATCACGGCCCGGAACAGCTTGTCAAATCACGGAGCAATCCCAATTTCCTCGTGGATTTCTTGGTGTGCTAAATTGGGGGTCTGTAGTATGTCCTCCCTGACACATATGCACACGCACTGCAACTAGTTTGGGGAGATTTGTTGAGACGCACCTGGCCCTCTTGCGAGCGATTTGTGGCTGATTTGCCACCATGACACGGGGGCTTAGATCACAAAGCCATCCATAAGTTTTAACACGTTTTCCTAGAAACGTTCATTGAAATTCTCAGGCCCTTATTGGGCCTTGGGCAGGGAGGGTGGGGCACGCTTTTAGCGTAGCTTGATTTCTGACTGGAGCCCCATGTGAAGAGAAGACATGACACATAAGCACACCGGAATGCAGCTGATGCCACTGCTCGTCGGCTACCCTTGCTGCAGACGACTATGCATCAATGTACACCGAGCTGTTGTTGCATGAATAGAAGGGGCATTCATGAGACATCCCTCTCGCAGAGGCCTCCCCAATGTGGAAGCTTCCCGAAGCACCACAAACAGTCGTAGCGGAGCTTTTGACAGGAGGAGCTGCCGGTACGTTAGAAATGAGTGCTTGCAAGGAAAAACCCTGTCCAATGTTGACTCAGCCAGCTGTGGACATGTCCCTCGCCCCTTGCAATTCTCAGGCCCAACTACCAGCACTGGCCGAAAGCACATGTGCAAACGGACGCAAATGACCAAAAAAGAATCAAACCAATTAAACCAGCAGTGTGAATGTCTTGAAATTTCACCAGGAAGCCAGCACCACAAAACTGTCATTGCGAGTAGAGCAGACTCGCAGAGACCCGTGCGCGCAACATCAGCACCAAACATCTTCCAGCTGTTTGTCGGAGCAAGGCAGAACCCAAATGCGCTGCCCATGCCGCAAAGTGCCCGGAAATTGATGCGCCGAGTGATGGCAAATCCTCCTGTAGCACAAAAATAAATCGAATTCGAACAGCTTCTGAGCCATGAGCACCAGCAGGGTGCACATCATGCTTTTGCAAGCAGGCCTGCTGACAGTACCCAAGCTGCTGCACGTCCCGAGCACGCAGACGCACCCGCCGTCGCCGCAGTCCACGCGAAGGAAGGTCAGCTGGATTCTCGCTCGAGGGCACGAAGACGAGATGTACTTGGAGGCTCCCAGCCAAGGTTTCCAGTCTGTTGAGCTGGGATGAGCTACGGCCCTTGGCAGCCGCACCCAAGACGACAGCAGAATCCAAGAGCACCACCACCCTGGAGGAATGACGACGCTTGGTGCGGAGAAGCCATCGCAGGAACAGCACGAGAGCTTCACCTTCCAACACATTGATATGCGCAGGAAACTTGTTGCGCACGCTGAAAATGTCTGAGAAGTCCTCCAGCTTCATGTTGAGCTTATGGGCCTCGCCCAGACTGTCAACTCCGAGCGTTGAAGCAACTCCTCCATCCATGACCACGAAAGGTTTTTCTGCCACACGCGCAAGATTGCGCGCCACGGCGGCAGTAGTGCGCACACATGAAGCACCAAACCCATAAGAAGTACTTGCATCAGCAGCACCCACGAGTGGGAGAAAAGGTCTTCGGAGGTCAGCGCGCCAGAAAACCCCTAAGCAGACACTGCAAGCCAATTCTGCCACAACTTGCACTGGCAGCGGAACAATGCAATCATCGCCCGGCAGGGTGAACTTGTAGATGTCGCTGTAGACGGAAAGCTTGGACGTACCAACAAATCAAACCACTGAAGGACCCCAAGCAACTGTTGCACCTGCTTTGGAGATGCAGCTCTGCACGCGTGCAAGTGCAAGAAAGCATAAATCATGGCCACGAATCGAGCACCAGGCACATCCAGAAACTGGCCATTTTCTAGGTCGACTCCAACACAAGTGCCACAGAGCCCGTCGTTCACATCCTTGGCAGTGTTTCGAACTGCTCGCCTGGCCTGCATAGCTTCATCAAAAGCCTGCGCTGCCGGCAAGGTACCACCTTGGCCAGAGTTGCTGAAGATCATCACATCGTCAGTCGCCACCGCCGCCACCAGCTCAAAGGAAGCGGGGGTTTCCAAGTCACAAGCCATGAGAGAAGCTTCAGGTACGCCAGCCTCCTGACACACACTCAGCATCTCCTCTTGCGCTGTGTACGAGGACCGGGAAAACCCCATTGGCCAAACATGATGCAAAGGAAAAAGGGGGCCCAGCATCTGCTGCTCGTTCCGCGGCTCTATGCTCATCATGGTCTTTTGTCTTTGTTAGAACTCCATCGTGTTTCGCGTCAGCAGCTCCTC